GTGCACTGGTCACCATGGGCATCAAAACGAGGGTTAACGTGTAGAGCGATGTCCTCGGCGCTGTGACCAATGTTAATGGCAAAACTGCAATAGAGCAAATGAGAGACATTACTCCTGTTGCTGTTAACATCCTAAATTCCAAAGTTACTTTGGGGAGGCTTACTTTGTAGAATCGGCCCTGGGGACTCCTTTAATTGTCAAAGTATGTCCCACCTTGAAGGACATATTCTGCACAAGCACACCCTGTTAGACAGTGAGAGCTCATGTTACTCTTTATTCTAAGAGTAATTTGATTTTTGTACATCTCACCGACTGTTTTATTTGGGATATACACTATTAGTATAGCAGAACATGTGTCTCCACTTAAATTTGACTTGTACAGCTGGGCACTGTGCCTGGTTTTCTCTAGAGACCAAAGAGAGACTGGAGCTGTAATGATGGAGTTCACAGAATCAGCCTCACAAAAGCAATGCAGTCAAATTTTCCAATGCGTTGATAGGAAAATTCTGGTCCAATGGTAAAAGGCAAAGAGACGGACTTAAACTTTCAAAAAAACTGCAGATGTGGCATGGTTGCTCTATTGGAAAACCTCTGTGCTACAAGACAGATACAAGAAGAGCTATATCTTAAACTCACCCTGAAATTAAAATAGTCAATTCTTACTTATTTAATTTGTTCTTGTTCAAGAAGCTGTTTCACTTGCATATATGTCACAATAGGGAAGAAAAGACTATTCTTTTCGCAACTTCCGTTTCATGATGACTTTAATCATTCAATCTTTAAAAATTAGTGGCCATGCCATCTCTGTGCATATCTGGTGTAAGTTAAGAAGCCATGTTGGGTCAGCAGCTGCAGAATCACAAGCTGAATTATACAAGGTCGCTATTGTGATTAACAGCTGCCAAGGAAAGTAGATTTTTATAGCTATAGCTGGCTGAACAGTGGAGAGGAAAGATGGTCAAGAGAGAGATAGGAGGAGGAAAAGAAGGAAAAAAAGGCAATAGACTGAGAATGTGAAAGGACAGATGTGTAACAGAGGTGAATTCTTTCCACATTAGTCGGTGCGAGTAACTGTAAACCAGCTCAAAGTCAGAAGCTATACTGCAGAACAACACTTTCAGAGCACTGCGATAAGCCTCACTATTTCTTTCTCAAATTTCTAAACTGCTTACTTCAACTGCAAAAGGGAGCTAAGAGTCTCTGAGCTAAGAGTGAACGTGAGCTAAAGGGTCTCCTTTTCAATGTCCCTGGGTCTGTATGATTTCACACCAAAGTTGGGTTTGAAATGGCCAGTCTCGCTTCATCTAGAAACGCCAGAGGATTGAACATGTTAAGGTATGATGAATTACCCTAAAATGCCGAAGGATTACAGACTACATTGCAAACCCAATAGCCTAAGGCTATGAAGCAAACATCTGCCCTAAACTTAGCATAATTCACTTTCTATTATTTGATTATGGCTGCATTGCTCAATGAAAAGGCTTACATATAAAACTAAATTCAATGACACTAAATGACGTCCATAGTAGGCTATTTTTTCCCTATGTCTGGTGGTTACCAACATTCTTCAAAAAAACTTTGTGTTCAGCAGAAGAAACTCATACAGGATTGAAACAAATTGAGGGTGAGTAAATAACAGATTTTTTTCTTTTTTTTTTAAAAAATGAACTATTCATTCAACTGAGGTAAGTCAGCTTTTATGAATTGCATTTCGTATTATTTATTAAATAAAAACTTAATGTCACTGACCAGTACATCATTGTGATAAAAATGGATCTGATGATGGAACTAACAATATGAGCATAAGATGCGAGTAGTTCACACCCATTAACAATGCACGTAATTTCACACACTATGCACCATAGACAACAAACACCAATATACCTGATCTCAGCTGCTACAATGCGACATGCGTTCATACTGTATTATTTGATTTTACTTATAAAATGGAGAATGCATTCTGACATGCTCTCAACAAATGGCTACAGACAATTTGACAAAATATAGGCCAATATTTATAAATAGGAATAATGAAGAGACGATGCGTCCTAAGATTACTCACGTCCATTTTGACTTCCTTTGAGACCCACAATGAAGTGAAATGAAGTGTCTGGACTCTGGAGAAAGTTTCGTTGTGTGGAGGGCTTCTTGACCACTTCGAACTAGGAGTGTTCTTCACAAGACCGATCTTTACTCCGCCCAATTGCAATCTTTTGCCTGCTCTATTTCGACCAATCGCAAAAGAGACATGTGGAGTGGAAGTCTATTTCTAGGCATACCCTAATACGCTATAAATACATGTAACTAATTAAAACAAGCGACTTTAACCACAATGAATGCTGGTGTAGGATACGTTGCGAGCAGATCCTAATTAATGTAATTATGCGCTTGTAACCCATAACTAATCTACTCATTAAAGCTTTATTAAAATAATTGGCTTCATGCAGTTTCCAAGATGATTAAACACGTGAATTGACAGGGTTATGAAGAGATAAAAAAATGTCACACGTTGTAAAATATATTGATCATATAAGACAATTAGTAATGATGAGCTGGTAGGTGATGTATTTGTGGTGTGAGTGCTGGAATACATGGTATTTTGAAGCTGATCATGAGGGTGTGGCACTGATCATTGCGCTACTTTGCGAAACTGACGAGCATTTTAACATGTCTGTGTCATTTATTTCCTTATTAATCTAAACAGCTACAACCACGAATTTCAGCACATTAGCGGCAGGTTTGTTTTGAAAGCATATGTCTAGCAAAAAACAAAACAAAAAAATATATACTAAAATAACTAAAATATTAGGCACCAGGATGTGTCTTTGTCACAAGTTGACCGCAAAATGAAGAAATGCTTTGGAGAAGTGATCGAGACTCAAGGGCTGTACGCAATTTGAAAGGAACAATGTCAGCTTACGCAAGATCACTAGGGTTAAAACTCGGTTTTGTCATCGGGTCAGTCAGAGAATATTTTTAGAACGTATTATAAGACTACAATTATTCACAAGCAATAAAATGTTTTGGCTGCAGCAACAGATATTGCATGCCAATCTATCTTCATCATTATCATGCCAGATGTAGAACACTTTCTAATAAATGCTTCAACATTATTAGGCTTACATTTATAAAACACTTTCAGAAAATAGCATAATAAAACTCAACAGGCTGAGATTCACGTGGGCGAGCCGGCGGCTTGTGGTCATGTGATTCTGCTGCACAACCAACCCGGCAGGTGGCGCTCCAGCGGACTGATCCATGGGACTGATACACACGAAGAAGTAGTTCACCATGGAATTCGAACAGGCATCTTCCGTAATCCGTATAACGTTACTCTAATAATATCAATAGCGAGCATGTAGGTGTTTTAAAGAGATTAGCAATATAAGAGGACGGAATGGGCCACAAAACTAGAAAAGAAGTCATACATTCCTTTCAAGTGAACTTCTTCGCTATGGGTATTTTAAATACACTTCCTTGGGATGTAAGTAACACATTGACAACACCAGTGTATTAAACATTAGTTACGATCGATTTTAGGTTTTCTTTTTGTTCTATGAATAACCCAATATGTTTTGTAGTCTTTAGACAAAGAACTTACAACTTCAAAACCTTCAGAATTCATAATGGACATTCTCCAGAAGGTAAAGAAGCTACTGTGAAAGTAAACGAATGAGTCAATTAATACAATTAAAGTAACTTTTTGTAGACATGTTTGCTTCCCATTTATTTCAAGAGTCCCCCCTCTTTAAAATACAGAAGACACTTCCTAACAGAATTGATAAAAAAAAAAAGGTTGGCTTTGTTTCTTTACATAACGTATTAAAGTAACTTCTTTTTTTTTTTTCCTTTTTTTTCTTTTTTCAGACATGTTTGCATGCCATTTGTCTCAAGAATCCCCCCTCTTTAAAATACAGAAGACGCTTCCTAACAGAATTGATAAAAAGGGTTGGCTTTGTTTCTTTCCAAAACCTATAAAATATGTTTTACACTTTTTCTACTGATTTTGAGATACTGCTTGTTCTCATGAAAATTATTTTTGTAGCATGAGATGGTAGCTGCTGAACCCCTGGATGAACTGTATGAAGCGCTAGGAGAGCTCATGTGCGCTCAGGAGGAGGATGTATGCTACAAAACCTACTTTCTGGTAAGTTAGATCATATTAGAACTGGACCTTATTCCTGTAACAGAATACAATATCAGAATGTGTTCGATCTCAAAAGCCAACAGGTGATGCGGTTAGTCTAGCAGAGAACGTGGCCCTCATCGCTCAGGGCACCACAGGTCTGGTTACCTGGGAGGCTGCCCTGTACCTGGCTGAATGGGCTCTGGAAAATACACACATCTTCAAAAACAAGCAAGTCTGACACTTCACAACTCTCTCGTTGATTTCATTTGTCGTTTCTTTATTTTATATAATTTAATGTTATACAGTGGATATACATCCAAAAATCTGAGACAACACTGGAAATCTGGGATTACCAGGGGAAAAAAGTTTTGAGGGGAAAAAGAAATGTCATAAAATTAAATAGAAATACTATTGCTCTAAGTACAAAAATACTAATATTCTAAAGGCACTTAAATTCATAATATAATTAGTAATTTAAAATTGTATTTAAATATATATACACACTACTGTTCAAAAGGTTTGGGATCAGAATGGATTCATTAAATTGATCAAAAGTGACTCACTGACTTTTACGTAGCTACAAAATGTATATCCCATTAATGCTGTTTTTTGAACATTATATTCAAAGAATCTGGCTGTGTTCAACATTGATAGTAAGAAATCAAATCATCATATTAGAATGATACCATGTGATGCAACACTTAAGACTGAGAGTAATGAATAATGATGCTGACAATTAATCTTTGGCATTACAGGAATAAATTAAATTACCATTTCAAAATCGAAAACTGCTATTTTAATTTGTAATAAGATTTCACAATAAAGCACATCCTTGGTGAGCACAAGATTTCTTTCAAAAACATTAAAAAAAAAAAAAACCTTACTGACCCCAAACTTTTGAACAGTAGCATATGAGAAACAAAAACAGAGTGACAAGCTACTTGCATTAAGATCTTAATAAAGTGAAGTGACTTTCTCTATTTTGTTAATTGTTTAAATTATTATATTTATGCTGCCATACATTTACATTTGGGCTGTACATGCAGGACAGTGCTAGAGCTGGGCAGTGGAATTGGACTTACGGGAATTGTAGTATGTCGGTCATCCAGCCTAACCAAATATATCTTCAGCGACTGCCATCAAACTGTGCTTCAGAGGCTGAAGGACAATATCACAAACTGCTTAACTAACTCTGGCAGTAACAGTGCATCAGTGAGCGTTGAGGAATTGCACTGGGAAAATGTTTCTGATGAACAGCTGCAAAGAATACAGGCCAACACCATCATTGCTGCAGGTGACACAAAACCCAGAAGATATTTTCAAGATTACACACATTATAGTTTCAAATGTGATTTATTCTCATTCTCTGAACAACACATAATGTCTGAGAGGTCTTCAATAACATTGCTCTGTTTGTTTGAACCAGATGTGGTGTACGATCCTGAGACAATTGCTTGTTTGGTCAAGCTGCTGAGCAGGCTTCTAAACTGCAAAGTTCAAGAAAACCAACCCGATGTTTACATTGCATCTACTGTACGTAACCCACAGACGTATGACTGTTTCAAGGAAGAATTGGGTGGGTTTTTCATACTATGAATACTTTTCTATTCCATTACACTATTGGTTTAAAACATTTTCATTATTCCTGATTCTTCATAATAAATGAAACATTTATTTACAGAAAGGGCTGGACTGAGATATGTCATCATGAAGGATTCTGTTGCTCAAGTATTTCCATACAACCGAGCCTCCACTATAGAAATGGTCAAAATATATGTATGACAAAACAATCTCTTTGTAATAAAGTGTTTATTTACATATTATTTACAAGGAAAGTGTGCTTTTTAGTCTCATATTCAAGTCTTTCCCAGTAGCATTGCTGCAATCCTTTGTCCCAGTGTGGGGACAGTTAGCTTAAAAATATGTACCCTGTGCAAATACCTGACAGTAACTTTCACAAAATAGGAGTCAAAGGATTTGAGAGGATGCTACATGAGCCCATCACCTAGATGGTCAGTCGCAGTGCTCTTTAATAAGCGGAAGGACGTTTTGGTCCCAATTCTCATTCCAGCGCCGCTGCCCACTTTCCTTTAGATTCTTCCTGAAGATGCCCAGTTTCCCCTGATCACCAGGAAAGTCTGAAAACAGAAGCTACATAGATACCAGAATTAGCCGTGAGCATTTATCACAAGGGATTCAAGATATTGAAGAGAAAGTCTTGATCTTGAATGTCTTGCCTTTAATTGTTGAGACAGCTCATTGGAGTCTTTAAAAATAAGCCCATTCTCCTCGTGTTTCACCAACTCATGCAAGCTAACAAGAAACAGATAATGAGCAGACGTAATTGTTCCCTGTATGACAGCTAACATATGTTAGCATTACTGATTTCACAATCGTACCACTGAAAGTGTATGGCACAGACTGGCAGGCAACATCCAAACATGTCGACCACTTTCATCGGAAGATCAAGACCACTGGAGGATTTGTGCAAGCAGACCCCAAGATCAGCCGAACCTGTGCCAGAAAAAAAAAAAAAAAATCAGAGAACAGCACGCTCATTTAAATCCATGTATTTTAAGCCAAAACAACCAGGAGTCTAGCCTGGATGCCAGCCCGAACCCTGCTCACAACATTTTCTTGATCCATTGAGGAGTAATTATGATCGGTTCAGAAATCGTCGGCCCAATCAAATTGCCAGGGCGGGCTTTATATAATGTTGGACTGATGATCTGCAGTTACGTAATCATCACGTTATCAAAGAGCGCTTGGGTTGAACTGGTTTCCCTCAAAGATGACTGCAGCTGGAGAATTGAGATGTATAGATTCTGCTATCACGTCTGTTGTAAAAAAAATCGACAGCGCATTAATTTTAAAAGAAGAACAGAGAACTCCAATCAAGGCATTTGTCGATCGGAAAGATGTGTTTGCCGTCCTTCCTACGGGATTCTGCAAAAGTTTAATTTCTCAGCTGGCTCCGATGGTCACTAAGAAGATGGGACACAATAGAAACCCTGTGGTCGTTGTGGTTTCTCCTTTGGTCGCACTCATGGAGGACCAAGTAAAAGAAGCGACACTCATTATTTTACTACTTCCAGTGTGCGTGCAGTTGAGTTCTGTTGACAACTATGCTATGCAACTATGTAGCTGACTTACTGCGTTGGTCTGATTGGTTGTAGGTCTATCCAATTGAGTGCAGAGTTGTTGTTTTTTTCCTGGTTCGGTTAAGACACGCCTCATAATCAAAGCCCTATGGAGCAGTATCAGACTCACATTCTTAATAGAATATGAGTATGACGAAGCCAGGCTACCAGGAGTCAGCAAAATGTGAAAACCTGGCCTATGAAATTTAAATGGTTGTTAATGAGTTCTTCGTACCAAGTAAAACTGGATAATCCTCTGCTTCTAGCCATGGAGTGCAAATCTTGACATGTTGAAATTCTTTAGAGTCAATCAGCTTCTTGTAATACTCCTTCTGAGGACCTTTACCTGTATTGACAAATCAAAGTGTTTGAAACATACAAACAAGCTGAACATTTATACATATTAGACTCAGTGTTGTGTACCTGTAATCACGCAGACCAATGATGGAAGATTGTCCTCTTCCTCAACAAACTTCTCATACTCTGTTGGACATGGAAAGAAATCAGATGTTGGAGATGAGATGTTTAAAATATAATAAAAACATTAATATTGTAAAATATGATTTATATTAGAGTTTAAAAAAACTTCTATTTTTATATATTTTTAAATGCAATTGTGGTGATCTTTCAGTGTCACATGATCCTGATTTGCTTTTTCTTATCATTAACGTTGAAAACAGTGTTGCTTAATATTTTATATTTAATTTTTTTTGAAACTATAATACACTTTTTAAATTGAACGGGAGAAACACCGGTGCACAGATCTTCTAAGAGCAAATTTATTAAAGGTGCAACAATTGTGCACCTTTAATAAATTTGCTCTTAGAAGATCTGTGCACCGGTGTTTCTCCCGTTCTGTCTGATCTTGTCCTGCCCTGGTTGCACCGGATCGTTTTGGCATTTTTCAGTAGCGCAGTAAGCCTCCCTTTCTTAATTGATACACTTTTTAAATTCTTTGATTAATATAAAGTTCAAAAGAACACCATTTTTTGGATTTTATTTTAATGCATCCTTGTTTATTTAAAATAAACATTAATTAAACATTTTACTAACTTCAAACTTTTGAACAGTTGTATATATGGAGAGATAAAAAAAAAAAATAATAATAACCTTGAAGGGCTTGTAAAAGAATTGAGAAGTCTTCATCCTCTGTTAGAGAACATAAATAATGAAGAGTTAGGACATTTCAATTAAGCGAACGAAGGAAAACATCCCTATAGCTCAGTGTGGACGGCACTGACCCGTCCAGCTGGTGCTGCTGATAAGCAGAGCAGGTCGTCCAGCAGAGCGCGTCACAGCACCTGTTTGAGTGTTTCGCTCTGTGAAGGCTGTCAGCTCCATGTGCTCCTTAGTGACGTCAGAACTAAGAAGTTATAAAGAGGAACATGTAAAGGACTAATAAAATGACAAAAAAAAAAAACTAAATGGCAACAGAGCTGACTGGTTTTGCCTACTCTTTTGTGCGACTTAATGGAATAAGAGCAAATGACTTAACATGAAAATACTTACCTAGGCCTAAATGGTGAATAAACGCTGCTCATTCTGACAAACAGTTCATGTTGAAGTTTCAGAGGTGTTTCTCTGAATATCGAGGGTGGCTTGTCATATAATGTGGTTGCCCTACAATTGCAAGATTGATAAACTGGCTTGTATTGTAAAGAAATTCAAGTTTATTCAATTATTATTATTACTATTAATATTATGTGATATAATAAAACATTTATAATAAATAATTTACATTAAACATACTCAATATTCCAGTTCTTCCGAAGATCTTCCCTCATCGCGTTAGTGACACATAAGTTATGATCCGAGAAACATCCAAAGAGTTTCTCATACCTGCCAACAACACAAAGCACAGTTCAGACATTTTTCAAATAGCACTTAAAACAGTGTTAGTTCTCCCAAAAATTAAAATTATGTCATTAATGACTCACCCTCATGTCGTTCCAAGCCCGTAAGACCTCAGTTCATCTTCAGAACACAGTTTAAGGTATTTTAGATTTAGTCCGAGAGCTTTCTGTCCCTCCATTGAAAATGTATGTACGGTATCCTGTCCTTGTCCAGAAAGGAAATAGAGACATCATCAAAGTAGTCCATGTGACATCAGTGGGTTAGGTAGAATGTTCTGAAGCATCGAAAATACATTTTGGTCCAAAAATAACAAAAACTACGACTTCATTAAACATTGTATGATCTCTGATCTCATCTCATTAACATCTTTGGTAACTGGTTACCAGAGAACACGTCAGCAGAGTCACTGCGGACAGAATCGGAAGACAATACAATGTTTAATGAAGTCATAGTTTTTGTTATTTTTGGACCAAAATGTATTTTCGATGCTTCAGAACATTCTACCTAACCCACTGATGTCACATTTCCTTTCTGGACAAGGACAGTATACCGTACACATTTTCAATGGAAGGACAAAAATCTCTAGACTAAATGCTCTCTAATAGCTCTCTACTAAAGTTGAACAGAGGTCTAACAGGCTTGGACATGAGGGTGAGTCATTAATGACATGATTTTCCTTTTTGGGTGAACTAACCCTTTAAGAGATATTTTTCATCTGCTACTTACCATTTTGCCACTCTAACAATTGGATGATTCTCCCCATGAGTAAGAGCCATTATGGTGTATCCATAGTTGTGCCAGTCTATGATGAACTGGTTTCCCCTGACACGACTGGCCACCCACGCCACTGCTATAGCTGGCAGTCCTGGAGGGTTCTATGGAATACACAGATGTGCCTTAGAATTTCACTTTAAGACATCATCAGATATCGAAATTACTTTACTCGATAAAAGAGACATACACCTGCATAAGGATATAGCCTTGGTCCTCAATCTTCATCAACACATAGAACAGCTGAAAAGACTGGAATATAACCTTTGAAACATACCTGACAATTTTGGGGCCAACTGAAAGGAAAATGAAGATTATTCTTTATATCAGAACGACTGTCCATGGTCTGTTGTGCTTGCAAGTTTTCTTTATATTACATGTTTGTATTACCTCTAAGCCCCATTAGTTCTGAAATAGGAAGTATGTCTATCCTGTCATCCTCAAGAATGTCTTGATGAGGTTTAGTACCTATGTGAGCAAAATGCCAGTGTTAGAGGTGCTAAAAGCTAGCACTGTGACCTATGTAATGCATATCTGATTTGTCGTTTATTAGCATGCCTTACATGGGGGCTACATTTATGGGCATTTGGTATCATGCATAAAAGCAAAAAATGATGCAATGAGAAGTTCATGCGTTAAAATGTATACCAAGAAAGCCAATTAGGGTGACACTGTATCCATGTCTGCTGAGAGAGAGCGCATGATACTGCATGCGAGGACTGCGCCCTATATCTCCCAGCACCAACACGCAAACGTTCAAATGTGCAAGTTCATCTCGTCCCCTTAATCCACTGGCTAGTACAAAAATAAGCACCACTACAGCGACCGGTAGAAGAGCCCACGATAAGCTTAACCCCGATAAAAGTCCTAAAAGAACCAATGACACTGTCACCACAGCCACTGCCGCATTGGCATCCGCCATTGTGTTTTCCTGATTATGACGTGGCTTAAAGTAGGACATGAAATTTAAAGAGACATGACCACAGCGAATACACATATTAACATTCTTAAACAGCATGTCATTCATGTCATTCGTACATTTCGATGTTAATAATCGCTAAAAGTATATACAGTTCCTGACAACAATGAATTAAGCAAACATTTAATTAGAATAATTTTGAATGTCATAATTCACTGTACATGCTTATCATTGCACACGACACTAGTAGCCTAACCTTTAGGTGCTTTACGTGCGACATTTTTTTTTACATATGTACAACAGAAAAAAGTAAATATTGAACAGTAAAAGTGAATATAGGCCTATATAAAACAGTAGCCTACCAAAAATGACTGGTCACATGGTAAAACATATAATTATTGCTAAAAATGTGCGGCTTTCAATTAATGTTAGCCTATTATTATTCCAGATTTTTTTGTCAATATTATAACATTGAAAAAAGATTCTTTTTTACAGGTAGCTAGGTTAAACTAAAAGAAAGAAAGAAAGAAAGAAAGAAAGAAAGAAAGAAAGAAAGAAAGAAAGAAAGAAAGAAAGAAAGAAAGAAAGAAAGAAAGAAAGAAAGAAAGAAAGAAAGAAAGAAAGAAAGAAAGAAAGAAAGAAAGAAATATTTTTAAGCAAAAGCATGAATAGTGGCACCCCACGGTTTCAGGGGACCTGGGTGAGTCACGTGATGGGTTTGCTTTGTCAAACAGCTTCGCCTTTGAAATAAGGGAAAAAACTACTGGATAGTCCGTTAACGATTTGCCCCGTTTGTTTTTCTATTCTTAAAGCTCTTAAAATGTGGTTTCCTTTTCTCGTACTTATCCTTCTCTCGTCTACAATTGATTTATCAAAGCAGGATGTGATTGATAACATACTTATGAGTTTATCTAAGGGAATCACATACTTTGAAATGCAGGGCAGAAACATCAACCTGGACGGTGTTGTTGGATACATAATACTTCAAGGTAAACCATTATGTTACAGTTTGAATCTATTCAAAATCAAATACCCTGCTGTTTGTTTGTTTGTTTGAGTACCATATTCAACTTTTTTAAAAACTATTTTATTGATTACGTTTGCAATGTGCCACTATAGCGCTTAAGCTAACACTATTTATTTTAATGACATTTTAAACAAAACACTGAAGTTTTTTAATGATTATATGTGTGATATATAAAATCTATTCCGGGTTCTGTAATCTTTCTGGTTTCTGACACACGTTGTCTGAATAGTTATTTACAGATTTGTAAAGTAGGCTAATTAAAACACATTTTTAGAGCCTCAGCGGTTTGTGTTGACCTTCTTTTGGAGGGTTCAGTGCTTTATTAGAGGGCTAATAATATGATGGTTTTCAGAGGTAAATAATCCATCATTGGTTCACCATTGGGTGTATTATATAATTCAGCGCAGCTGCGGGAGGCAACACGAACTTGGCCGCATTCGGATTTTCTGAGTCTCTCTCAGCGCGCAGCTGCTGTTTATATGCTGAAAAGATTGAACAAGAGCCTCTCTACTGCTGTCAACGCTCTTCAAGAGACAGACCCCACTTACTTCAAAGGTAATACTCTTTGAAAAGAAACCCTATTCAAAAGCCAGTCTAATAATGACATAGAAAACCTAACACTTTTACAATAAGGTTCATTAGTTAATGTAGACTATTACTAACCATGAGCAATCCATTTGTTAAGTTAACGTTAGTTAATAAAAATAGAGCTGTTCAAAGTTCACAGTGCATTAAATTATGTTATTAATAAATGTTGAAATTAATATTAGCAAATGATCAATAAATGCTGTATATGTGCGGTTCATTGTTAGTTATGTTAACTAATGTTAACTAACGAACCTTATTGTATAATATTAACGAAAACCTGAACCGTTTCTCCTGAGCAGAGTTTGAGCCCATTTTGCACAGCTCCTTTTGGTCCCTGCCTGCAGAATGGGGCTCCACAGACCCCTCGCTGGTTTATTCCTCAGTGAGGTCTATGGAGTGCTATGATGAGCACCTGAGTGACAAGTGCATGACTCTCCTTCTAGGAACATGGTAAGACGATTGTAGAATAATATAAAAATATCATCAAAAAGGTATAAATATCATTAACTGTTATTGTATCGAAAGGAAAGACAATGGAACCCCATGTATTGTGACTAAGTCCTGTAGAGACACAATGACACAGTTTGGATGTCAACACTATTCCCTGTCCCACCAGCTATTGTACTTCATGATAGGAACAATGGTAACCACTCTATCTTTACTATATAAGCAAATGATTGTTTACCTTTTATTAAAGGCATAGTTCACCCAAAAATAAATATTTACACTCACCCTCAAGTTGTTCCAAACCTGTATGAGTTTCTTTCTTCTATTGAACACAAAATAAGATATTTTGCTGAATATAAGATATTTTGTAAGCAAACATTTGATGGTCCCACATTGACTTCCATATAGGGAAAAATACTATGGAAGTCATTGGGGACCATCAAATGTTTGGTTGCCAACATTCTTTAAAATATCTTCTTTTATGTAGCGTGAGTAAGATGTGATGACACATTTTTCATTTTTGTGTGAACGATCCCTTTAAGAACAGAGAAAGTATAAGACATTTCTGGTGTAATCTGAAGTAAATCTATGTACATTCAGTCTGACACTTGTGTCCTCAGAAAGGGTGCTCCAGAATGCTCAATGGGGACCTGAGATTGTCTCGTGTCAACATAACTGTGGAACATTATAAGAGAATCTTCTGCACCAACATGATAAAAAGCAACCGGGACATTTTCAAGAATGGTCTTACTGGCCAAATGCAGGACATCTTCATAGAAAACAGTTAGTACATGCAGAGTGGAATCAATCAATGGAGAACAATTCTTGTAACATCCACTTAATGCATTTTTTTTTATTTTACAGTTCTTTTATGTGGTTTAGTGGGATTCTCAGACTTCTATAAACTGGACTGGTTACAGTCTATTTTAACATGGCAAGACCAAGAAGTGGGTTGTTTTGGCAAAGAAGGTGAGTTAAATCATGTTAAATGTAGACTTAAAAAATATCCTAATCCTAATGAACGGTTAAAATGATTGTTTTTCAATTGTTGTTCAATAATTGTTTTTCCCCCTCAGAGGACATCTCCCAGATCTTTGAGGAATTTTTGGATGCACCCCACAAACGGGTGAAAAGAAGGGAAAAAACGCTGACAGGTGTTAGTTTGCTCTTTAATAAAAATGAAGAATTACTTCATTAACATGACACAATTATACTGTCTGAAACTAACTCGTATATGTTTCTTTTCATAGATGGCTGCTCAAGTCATATGACAGGCGTTGCAGTGAGCACGCTAGGAGGTTTTCTCAACTATTACCTTTCAGAGCAGGACATAACGAAGAGACCCTTAATTTAAGGGCCATGCTTAATGAGATAATGGTCCCAGAGCCCAATTTCCTTCTTTATACAGGCTTTAGGTGTTTTTCTCAGTGATTGTGTGGTATTTAAAGGAACACGCTGACTTTTTGGACTTTAGCTTATTCACCGTATCCCCCAGAGTTAGATAAGTCCATACATACCTTTTTCATCTCTGTGTGTGCTGTAACTCTGTCTGACGCACCCACCGCTAGCTTAGCTTAGCACAAAGACTGGATGTGAATGGCTCCAGCTAGCATACTAATCCCACATAAGTGACAAAATAATGCAAACATTTTCCTATTTACATGTTGTGATTTGTATAGTCACAGAGTGTACAAATAACAAGGTCATATGAGACACAGCCATCCTTTAACAGTATAAATACTGGGAACTATATTCTCAGAAGGCGAAGCACTGCTACTTGGGCGGAGTGATTACCGCAGCACCTGAGTCACACCGTGGTGAGGAGCAGAGAGTTCACACAGAGTAATAGAGTCAGCAATTACTAGACTATTAAAAGCATAGTTTACAATCATGGGTGTTCGCTGTATTGTAAAGAGCTGCGACAATAAACAAGGGAGACCAGGTAAGGTATTACCATGATGTGTTATAGAATTCCAACCAAAAACGCTGACCTGATGAATCAATGGCTTACTTGCTCTGGATTTAACGATAGATCCAAACACACCTGAAGGACCACATCATCAAGGACCATCGTGTTTGCTCAGTACATTTCACTGAAGAGGACTATTTAAAAAAAAAAAAAAAAAAGGATACGACCATCCCATCGATAGCACAGACAGGACAAAGTGGATCACCTGCGGCTGTGGTAAGTGTTCTGGTATGTTTTTAAATGACTAGCCTACAGTAACAGTGCCATTAGCCAGATCTAATGTAACGTTAGTGACACTATTTTATGAATAGGTTGGTCACCACTATTGCAGTTTTTCCCAGTCTCCATGTGCCCCCTGTATGGCACCATTCACATATAGCTCCTAAAAACATGTAGAAAACCGCTTTGCTTCCATTATAAGCGTGCATATCCCGCGCACCTACATTTGAAATAACGAACTTGAGCTTACAAAAGACGCGATATGTGAGCAAGCCCTAATGTTTGCAGGCCCTATTGTTTTGTCACAAACACACTCTATGATTGTAAACTATGCTTTTACTATCTACTGTAGTAATTGCTGACTCTATTACTCTGTGTGAACTCTCTAATCCTCACCACGGTGCATCTCAGGTGCTGCGTTAATCACTCCGCCCAAATAGCAGTGCTTCGTCTTCTGAGAATATAGTTCCCAGTATTTAAATACATTTAAAAGATGGCTGTCTCTCATATGACCTTGTTATTTTTACACTCTGACAATACAAATCACAACATGTAAATAGAAAAATGTTTGTGTTGTTTTGTCACTTATTGGGATTAGTATGCTAGCTGTGTCCATTTACATCCAGTCTTTGTGCTAAGCTAGGCTAGCGGTGGGTGCGTCAGACAGAGTTACAGCACACACAGAGATGAAAAAGGTATGTATGGACTTATCTAACTGGTCGATACGGTGAATAAGCTAAAGTCCCCATAAGTCGGCGTGTTCCTTTAATGCTGTCTAGGT